CAATCCTTTATCAGCTGCAATTTCTTTTTCTTTCTTTCTTTTTTTTTTGTACCAGGAACCGAATATCAGCTGCATAGTTGCAAATATTTTCTTCCAGTCTGTAACTTGTCTTCTCATTCCTTTAAATCTTAGTGTTTTAATGCTTTCTTCATCTATGCCCAGGCATTTAAATTTATCCCTGCATATTTTATCTTTTATTTCCATTGTAAATGGATTCTTTGCTTCCATCATCTGCTAACACAGAGGCACACAGATATAATGTGATATATTTTTATGTGACAACATAATAACAGATATATAATGTAAATATACATCTTATATATTACATGACATATATATGTACATATATCCAGTATATTTGTATGTTTAAGAAAGATACTGATTTCTATGTATTAATTATGTATCCTTTGACCTTAACGCAATTTTAATTTAAAAAGAAAAATGAACAAGTTTTTTTGTTTGTTTTTCAATTACTACACTAATAACAAATAATATTCACTTATTAATAGTCATACTAATCTTTTGTTAGATTGGTATAATATGTAATACATAAAGCCATGACCACCATCTCCTCACTCCGTAATCCCATTATCCGGGTCTGAACAACAAAAAGTTAATTTTGGTTTATATGCTAAGTCTTTTTTTCTAAGACACTACTATCTGTTATTAAATATATACATAGGGTAATCTGTATATATCAGATGTATTTTATCTATGTAGTCATGTAAATTATTGCTCTGAGTTTGCATTTTTACTAGGCAATAAAAATAATTAAACAGGCAAGCCAAAATTTACTGGCCTTCCGTTTACAAAAGTTGATCAACACACATATTGAAACATTAATTTCAGCCATCTTGTTTGTTATTTGTGGTCCAAGTCTACATTTTAGCCTTATAATTATGCTGAAAAAAATATTTGTAGATGATATTTGGATTGTTCTCAGAATAGTTACTCATGAACTGAAAGCTTGAGTTTGAGAATATTTGTGTTTGTCTTGCTTCAAAAATGTGTAAGCCATTTTGTTTTTCCAAGAGCATTTGATTTGTTCCTTACATAGAATATTTTGATTGAAACCAATGATGGACAGTTATGCTTGGATGCTGCTTTTTTTCTTAACAGAAAATATCAAGGTTTGAGATAATTTCTTTTTTCAGAATATAGAAAAAAGCAATTGGAAAAAAGTTTTGACAATCAGAATAAAATAACAGGCATAAACTTAGGGTAACTTTTACATTAATTGCTTAAAAATTATTTATTTTTGGACCATTCTGTCCAGTTATATAGGTTTTTGTAGGACTCTTAAGATAAAGCAAAAGCATCATTAATTAAAAATACATCAACTTATTGACATAGTTTTATGGGAAATTATAATAAAGTTACTTGCTTTAGATTTGAATTCTGCACATTTCCGGTAGTTAGTGCTCATGGTCCTGTCTCAGCTATGACAGACTACAGAGTGTCTCTACCAGAGTATAACATGGTGCATGGCCTCTGCTTGGTACTCAGTAGATAAATACTGTGTTGGTGGATGATGAATTTAGGAGCTCCTCTTTTTGATTGGTAAAAATGGAAGGTCACCAGGTATGGTGCCACATGCCTCTAATGCCAGCACTCAGAAGCCCGAGGCAGGAGGATTGCCACAAGTTCATGGCTAGCCTGGGCAATGTGGTGAGACCCTGTCTCCAAAAAAAAAAAAAAAAAAAAAGGCTTAATAAAAGACTTAGTATATTTCTTTTTTATAGATGAATCTACCCAGTCACAATATAATTAATTAAAAGTAATGTACTCCACCCCCAGTTAACATTTTTTTCTAATTTTTTTTTTGAATTTGAATAATGGCAGAAAAATAATATAAAAATAGATTTCTTTCTTGTAAAAAAAAAAAAACCCAAGTGGCTTATTCTACTTTAAAAGTAGAGATAAGCAACTCTTTGTTGTTTTTCTTACTGTCACCTGCTCAGTGCCTGGCCACTTAGCTTACCTACCTAATTGTTGGGATAAGGGAGTCTCGGGCACCTTTCTGGGGCAGAAGGAACACTGATCAGAGCAGCCCCAGGCTGTTTTGCCCCATCATTAGAGCAGTGAAGTCCCAAGAGAGTCTTCTCCTTGACCTGTTTCTGTCAGAAATTGCCCTCTGGGATCTGAGTGAAGGAGGACAGGCTTGTGGAATGGGTACCCCCCATCCCTAGATAGCCTCATTTCCTGGATAGCAGCATATTAAGGAACACATTAAAGTTAGGAAACTACTGGGGGTGATCACAGAAGTCATTAGATTATGAACGTCCTTAGTTTTGGTTATTTTGTGGATAACAACTGCTAAATGAGTTTTGGGACATTAGGCAAGGTAACCTGCTTAAACCTTATCTTTGAAACAGAGTTATAGGATCAATCTCAGATGTTTGCCAGGAAAATGAAACAAAACAGTGCATGGCTGAGGGTTGTTTGTGATAAGCCCTACCATCTGGGTCTGACTGGCTTAAACAGAGATTTGGAGTAGAATTTCAGCCTCTAGAAGGACAGGAGAACTGGACTCAAAGGTTATACAGCCCTAAATTAGCCACAGTCATGACATACAAGCAATCTAGTGAGGGTTGTTTCATTTTTCCTGAGTATTGAATACTACAGGTCACATTCCCTGCACTGGGGCTGTTATTAATGTCATCACTGCTGCCTTTGGGACTAACACTTCTCGAAAGAAGTCTTTTGTCTCTGATTCCTTGTATCACTTGCTCTTGATGGACAGTCTCAGGTCATTGGTTTTGGGTCACTTAGCCATGCCTTGCAGTAGGGAGCCTGGGAAAGTAAGTTAACAATATGATGAGAATTGGTGCAGGACATGAGCTCTGTCCACCATGAAGATTTAGAGAACTTGGGATTCCCAGAACAAAGAGGTGTTCAGAGCTGAGAAGTTCAAAAGGTAATGAATTGCCACTACTTAAAAAATGCTCAGTATTATGCCTGACATGTGGCAAGTACCCAATAAGCAGTGGCTTTTCAATTTATATTTGTCAGTCTTTATTGGAAAAAATGGTCAGCGAGATTTCTACTCCCACATTTGAGTCTTTGAAGCAAATAGATAGGAGCTACTCTTAGAAGAACGATATGAGAGGTGGGTGAATGTAAGTTCCAGTTAGAATTTACAAGGTAAATATTACGTTCACAGGATGATACCTCTCTGTTTTTTAGTAACTCAAGGGTAATACTGGGCTCATTAGCCAAAATGTGTATGTATCCAGATTGCCATCGAGGCACCTCTGCCGTTCTTTAGTTGTCACCCTTTCCTCCTGGCTTCCCATTTATAATAAGGGTGGTTGGTACAGACATAATTAGAAAGCTCTGGCCTAGTATCAGAAGCCTGGATTTGATTGAATCTTAGCTTTACCAGTGACTAACAGTATGATTGAGGGCAGGTTAGGTATGTGGACCTCGAACAACTCCCTTAACGTTTAGACTAAACAAAAATACTTAGGATTAAGGGGACTGAATTGCTAGGGAGAGAGAATTTACTTAGAAGTAGACAAGAAATAGGAAATAATTTTGGATGAAGAAATATGATCACTTAAATCATATTTATACATTGGAAAGATGATAGGGAAAAATTATGGCCAAGTGGAAAGATAACTCATTTAAGAGTGAGAACACCTGCTGTTTTGTCATCTGTCCCTGGCAACTTGATTTAATAAACTTACTGAAACTTCATCAGTGTTTTGAATGTGCATTTCTTCAAATGAGGAATGGAAGTAAATAATTCCTGCCTTACTTTTTCTTTTGTTCATTCAGTGTTTTTATTGATTACTGCTATGTACTGGTCCTATTCTAAATGAGTGCACACAGTGATAAAATATGCAAGATCCTTTCCTTAAGGAGGTAGTAGTTTAATGAGAGAGCCAGAGATAAATGAGTAAATGGATATATAAATAACTATAACTTGTAGTAAGTACTGAGAAGGAATCAAATAGTGAAATGAGATGAGACATTTGGGGCTCACACAGGAACAACAGGAAAGGCTTCTCTGAGGCAGTGCTGTTTAAGAGAACAGATGTCCAACATGGAGCAAAAGGAGTAGCTTTGAGCTAAGAGGGCTGGACTGTATGTGCAGATGCCCTGAAGTGTGTCTGGAGTGTGGTGGACATGAGGAGTGAGATTGGAGAGAGATAGAGTCTGAGTCGTGCAGGGCCTTACAGGCCACGGAAAAAAGCATGCGATTGTGCGTGAGGGCCTACAGTGTGTTCAAGGCTGAGCGATCTGGAAGGAGTTACTTGGTCAAACTGATATGGTAGTGAACACATACAGCTTATGTCTGTTGAGGTGGTTGTGATGGAAAATGAGCACCGTTTCTCATAACTGCTTCTGGTTGATGTTCTCAGGGACATGATTAATGACCTACAGACTGATTTTAATTTCTAGGTTCTGTTATTTTGTGTGTGTGTGTGTGTGTGTGTGTGTGTGTGTGTGTGCACGTGTGCGCGCATGTTGGGGTACTGGGACCTGAACCCGGGACCTCCTGTATGCCAGGCAAATGCTCTACCACTGAGCTACTTTCCCATCCTTTAAAAAGCTTAGGTTCTCATACTGAAAATTTGTTCAAGGGAGTTACATTTCTTTCTTTTTTTTGCAGTACTGGGTACTGAACCCAGAGCTTTTACCCTGAGTAAAACACATTTATAATTTATAATTACATTTTATTTATTTATTTTGAGACAGTTTCACTAAGTTGCTAACTTGCCCATGCTGGGCTACAACTTGTGATCCTTCTGCCTCAGCTTCCCAGAGTGCTGGAATTGTAAGTGTACCCCGCCATGACAGGCTAAATTTTTTTTAAATAAGGTACTTTTTCTGGGGATTTAGCTTAGTGGTTCTGCAGCCTGCCTCGCAAGCACAAGGACCTGAGTTCGATCCCTGGTACCAAAAAAAAAAAGGTACTTTTAACAAAAATATATATGTATGATGCAATTAATACACATCAGATTTTCTACTAATTTTATATGTATTTGTTTTAGTGCTCTTCTTTTTAATGAAGTGAAATATATCACCACTGTGGAAGACCTTCAGAACATAGAAAATACTGTGAAAGGAAAAGCCAATATGATATTTTCATATGTAAGAGCCATTGGAACACCAGGTATTTAGAAAGTTTTGCTTTTATCTTTGCTGTGCCTGTGTACTTGGGTGAGTTTGTTGAAGTACTTTAAGTAGAATATAATCTTAATATTTAAAATAAAATTTAAGCATCTTTACTATTTGGTCATCTTTCTTTAAACGGGCAGCATAATATAGATAGTGGTTGGTTAAGATAATGACTACATTAGACTTCCTCCCCCGTCAATTACTTACAGTGTAACCTTGGACAAGTTACTTAGCTTTAGTCTGCTAGTCATTAAGATGGAGAAGATAGTTATACCTTCCTCTTAGTTTTACTGTGAAAAGCACAATGAAATAAATGAAACGCTCCTTAGAGTATTTAGTATGTTGACTGTTACTATTTTTATTTCCTTATTGTCCTCATGGTACCTGGAGTCATAGTTACTAATATTTGATAAATATTATTGACTGACTGGCTTGCTTTTATACAGTGAACCCTTGACTTACAAACCTGATCGGTTCTTCAGGAAGGGTTGGTTATGTCACTACAGCTGAGCTCTGGATGTTTACCTGGGCATACACTGTAGATGAATCTTCCACTAACCTAATTAACCAAACTTGTTTATATGTCAGGCTGGCCATAACTTGACGGTCCACTGTACTTTAGAGTTTGTTGCTTGTAATGGTTTTTCTTGATTTAAAAAAAAAAAATCTGTTTTTGACATCATCATGACCTGAGCATGAATACCTAAATCTGTGGTAAAGAAGTTTATAAACATTTTATGGCCAAATTATAATTATGTTTTCAAGACTTTTATTCATTAATGGTTATAATATAATCATGCTAAGGTGCTGTTAAAGATATTGTAAAAATTGTAAATGTGCTTATGAAATAAATGATTTATTTTATTTATTTTTAACTTTTTAGAGTCTTCAAGTTGTTCTGTTTTCTCCAGAGTTTGTAGTTGTAATCAGTAAAAGGGATGAGCCAGGAAGGGCTTATGCTGTTTACACTGCTACCACTATACCAGACTGGGAACTTCTTGCTTTGTATTTTAACAGCATCAGTCTGATTGCTTAGTTTGGAATAAATTAGGAGAAGGAAGGGTAGAATAATGGAGAAAATTAGGGATCTGTTGCAGTAATGCAGGCAAGAAATGATGGTGGGGAGATGAGAACAGGATGTTAGCGATGGCGGGGTAACAATAAGTGTGACTTTCAGAGGTATTTTAGATCTCGAGAAAACAGAATTTGCTGTCATATTGAATGTGGACTGAGAAATAGAGTCATAGGTGGCTTTGTGATTTGGGTCTCAGGTAGTTGAAAAATGAAATGCTAATAATTGAGGTGGAGAAAACTGAAAGAAGACTGGACTAGGAAGTTTGGAGGGGAAGCTCTGGAGTTGACTTTGACATCATACTCGGGAACAACTCATTAGACAGCCGAGTGGGTGACACTTGACACCCATACAGTCAGCCAGGGTATGTGAGCATCACTAGACTGCATTTGTATGTTGGGATGTAGTCTAGTGATACAAATTTGAGAAATGAAGCTGTGAGACCAGAAGAGATCTTTGAGCGTGTGAGACTGGAGGGAGAAGACACAACTGAAATCATCAGACATCCCAACATGTGCACACCAGTGGGGAGAGGAGGAATGGTCTGTAACAAAGTGAAGAAAGGTCCCCTGTCCCCCAAGCGGAAGTGTGCAAAGTAATTTTATCCTTAAACTCTTCTTCTTAGGACAAGCTGTAGAATAGCATGTATCAGTGACAAGACATCCTAAATTTAGACGGTTTAGGTTGGTCATCTGTTCTCACTAATTCCTTAGTCGATGTTAGTCAACATTTACTGAGTGTGCAAATGTCAGCAGCTATTCTACATTCAGGAAAACAGCATGGCAAAGCAATAGCCTTTTCCCTAGGTCACAAACTGAGCAAGTAACTGAACTGACAATAGCAAAAGGTCCTACTGTTACTGCCCCCCTGGGCTTCAGCTACATCAGAAGAACTTCACTCTGTCAGACCTGACCTTCTCCTTCCCTCGTGACTCGTAGGGCTTTTATTTAACCGCTATGTTCCAAATTGTGGCTGTGCATGAGTGAAGAAATGTTGTGTTGTACTAGCTTTCATAATTCGAGGGGGATGAAAAGTAGCTCAGTAGTGATCTGCCATTTGCTGTATATTTTCGATAATACAAAGATTTTAACTGAAATTACCCACATTTTGGCTGTTAGTATAAGCAGTATTAACAAGCTGTTTACCGTATTAGTTTGCTTCTAAGGTCTCTGTAAAAATGAGGGAGCATTGCCTATATCCAAACTATTACCTCACTCTACCTATGATTTTCTTTCTTTTTTGAGACAGGGTCTCACTGTGTAGCTCAGGCTGGCCTTAAACTTGGGGCATTCCTGCTGTCTCAGCCTCTTGCGTGCTGGGTACTACCATGCAGGGCTCCTTCTCTCTGATTTTGATAGTTGACATCATGTCAGATTTTCTTCTCAGTTTGGCATTTCTGATTGCCCCTCAGTAGGAACTTCTTTCAGTAACACTGCAGATAGAGGTCTTTGCAGTAGCTTACCTCCCCATTCTGCCTTATTTTGAGGTTGCCTTTGTTATCTCCCTTTTTACCATCAGTCTCTGGCAAGCCCTTCAGGGATGCCTCTGAGGGATCTCTATGGCTTGATCTTGGGTAAGCAACAGAGATTAACAGATTTGTTTTCTTAACCACTCTTTAATCAGGGGGACGGTTAACTTGGGGAGCACTCTATATGGAAAATCTCATTCTGTTGTGAAAGAAGGTGCCTTTCTTTTTAGGGCCGGAGCCACACCACTCACCACTCCAGGCAGCTGCCTGCAGTTCTCGAGTCTACTTGGATGTTTGATCCAGCAGTTTTGTTTCTGGGAATATGGCAAAGGAACTGAAATCCACCTCTTGAGGAGATATCCACATGCCCATGTTGGTTGTAGCATATTCACAAGAGCCACGGTATAGAACAGCTCTGTCTGCCCTGGGTTCACAGGTCCGTGACAGGCAGTCATGGCTGAGCTGTTAGGAAAGGGCCAGTGCTGGGATGCAGAGCCCTTTAGTCTTCCCAATCCCTTTCCTTCTGCACCTTCCTGCTGGAGAACCTTTCCTATTCTTTTACCTATATTACAAAAACCTTTTGTGGCAGAATCCATTCCTCTTGGCAAAGAGCCCTGGCAGACAAGCACACATCAGGGCCACGGCCAGAGCCACCTGTGGAGAGCAGGTGATCTGACTGGAGGGCAGACATGCTTGTTGCCAGCCGTGTTCTTGTGCCAGGGGAGAAGAGCCTCCTCTGCCTGGAGAGCGAGGAGGTGCCCTTTGCATTCACTGGGAAGAGAGCTTTTGTTAGCTAATGAAAGACCTGCTGAGCTCTGACTCCATTTTTGAGTTTTTGTGAGGAGCCTGGAGAGTCTGAAGCAACAGGTATGGAGTGAGCCTCAGAAATCTTTTTTCTTAAAACAAGCATCAGATGATTCTTTTATGTAGGTAAGTTTGGGAACAATAGACCATATTTCTCAAGATTCTCTCCAGGGCAGTGAGAACCTTTGCATTAGCAAAGTACTATTGCACTTTTTCAGACCTAGATTGAGAACACAGTGTGCCCCATGCTATTCTGAGAAACCAATCAGCACAGAAGCCTCTATTCTTTGAGTGTCCTGTCCAAATTTACCCAGGAGCTTTCCTAGCTCTAAAAGGCTGTGAAGCAGGGTTGAGGGTTAGGTACTGATGTTTTGATGTCTGAAGCAAAGGAGTCAGGCTGTGAGAGGTAAAATGTTTCTGTCTGCTTTCTTTTTCACATGCATAATCTTCTTTCAGTCTAAATATATACCATGTTTTAGCGACACAGGCAAATAGTCTCTAGACCATTTTATAATACAGTATAGGGACATTTTCAGTTCTCTCGGTTATTATGGGGATGCCTTCCTAGGCTTTAAGAGTAAGAAAGGTCCAGCGTTCCAGTTTCAGCAAGGACCCAAAGGTATTGTTGCTGCTTTTAGAGTTTTAAGGAAGAGAATAGGAACACAAGTTAAGTGATGTTGAAATTAAGATGAGAACTGCCAGTTGGGCATTAGGCATAGTGATGTGGCAGTTACCAGTGACCTTTAGCAATGCAGTTTCTGTAGCGTGGATGGAGGGGTTCAGGTGAGAAGAACAGAGAGCAACTGGGGACAGTGAATACAGGGAAGATTTGCTTAAAGGGAAGAGAAAAAGCAGTGGTTAGAAGGGTATGTGGGGTCATGATAATTTTTTAAGCAGCTTATTTGTATGTTCACAAGAAAGACTTGGTAGAATGAGGACAGTGCGTCCTGCAGGAAAAAGAAGGGAGAATTGCTGCAGCAGGATCTTTAAAGATGTAAGAGGGGATGGAACCCAGTGAACAAGGGGAGGCAGGGTTCTGTGGTGCAAGCACAGAGAGTTCATCCACAGCGATGGCAGGGACGGGACAGAATGTGCACATCAGTTCAGCTAAGTGAGTAGGTGGATCGGGTTTGGATGCTTGTGGAGGTTTTTCTGGTTTGTTTTTAATTGATTCTATTTTCTTAGTGAAACAGAAATAAAGTCATATGTTGAAATAGGACTACTCAGTTTAAGAAAAAATAGATGAAGTAGTTATTTAGGAGGCCTGGGAATAAAGAAAGGGTTATAGGCAATAATAGTAATTAAGTTGGTTTTATTTTGTTTTCCCTCTGTCCAAGCCTATTTGGCGGTAGTTGGAGGGCAGGGAGTACAGAATAGGCACAGTGTTGGACTTAGCCAGGATTGTTTTAGCCTAATTGACAGGGGAATATAAACATCGACCATGGAGTTGAAGCTGAGGAGAATGACAGTGAAAAATGATAGTGTCATCGGCTAGCATTGGTCCTTGCTTTAGTGGTAATGGAAATGGAAACTGAGGCATTCAGCGAGTATTTACCACAAGTAAATCAAAGAGCAAAATAAAAGACAGTAGTAAATAGGGAGATGCATCTTAGGCATATGGAAAGGGAACAGAGGGATGCTGGGAGAGGGGAAAGGGGATGTTACAAGTTTTAAGCACGTGTGTGTTGTGCACATGTTCCAGCTACGCACAGGGAATGTATTCGCTGTATACCACAAGCATGTACTAATAAAGCAATTCAGATAAAATACAGGAGAACACAGATGTGACAAGGAACAAGCCCATCCCCTAACAAATAAGAAGATAGGAAGTTTCTCAAACTGAGAGAAGGCAGAGGTCTTCACACTTGCCCATCCACAAAAAAGTAGACACCAATCTTGTGGGGTACTGTAGGCAACTGGGGTCTACTTGATCATTATCCTACTCCTAGTTTCTTAGCTCTGGATGAATCCTTCTGATTTGAGGGCAGTTCAAGTCCTGTGAGATGATTGTTTCTGCTCGAAGCAGCCTCAGGCATGTGGGGCTTTGGTGGAATCCAAGATGACCCTAAGTTTACAGCAGTGAAGGCCTCTACGTATGGCTGAATAACTAAATCTTTTATCTTGGTGTCTCAGTTGAAAATGAGATTGCCTAGGTAAACTCAGGGCTAATAAACCTTGTTTTGCCAGCTTTCAGACAGATACTTTTTAACATATCTGTGTGTAGAGCTAAGGAGGAGTTTGACCCAGAGTTTTGTAAAATGAAAGTGAAGCTTTGTTCTACTTTAGTGATCTTTTGGGCATCTACAGGCTCATGTGAAGAGTCGTGTTTTTGATTTTGCACCCACCCACACACACATGCACACTTTAAGTCCTTGTCTACCTAAGAAAACACAAATCATGCTTTTAATGAGTTATGAGGTAAGGGCCCAGGAGTTTGTTTGATCTCTGTCCCTGTGCTGGTATCAATATCAGAATTTATGACTCTCGGGTCCTGGTGGGGTAGAGTTGTGTACTTGACAGAGTGGTCTAGAGATGTTTGATTGTATGTGTGAGGACACAGGTTAGACAGAGCTTGGAGTGAGACTGTAACTGTGAGTGGTACAGGTGGAGCCTACGACAGATCACTGGAGTAGAGAAGACCAAGGACTGAGAGGCCAGGGTTTTGAGTGGACCATCTGTGCAGATAATGAAATCACTGGATTATGACAGCAGTATTGCAGAGCACAATAGTGTGACAAACTAAATTCTTCAGGGAATGAGGGAGTGTGATCCTGGCTAGGGTGGTATATAACTCAGGGTAGGATTGTTGTCAGATGCTGGAATGTCCAATGGTTCTAGGCTCTTGTCCTGATCAAAGAATTGGTTGTGGACACCTGATGAATGCATAAGTTTCATTCATTCATTCATTCATTCATTTAATTATTTTTTGGTACTGGGGATGGAACTCCGGTCCTTGTGCTTGCAAGGCAGGCGATGGAACCACTAAGCTAAACCCTCGGCCCCGTAAGTTTTCATTTATTGAAAATAAAAGAAGGAAAAAGTGGAAGTGAAGAAGAGTGAAAAGGCGTAGAAGTGAAAACCAGAAGAGAGGAAATGCACCCTGTACACAGAGCAGGACTCTGCACAATAAGGAGACAGTGGCCATGAGGCCCAATGGCATTCATCTTTTCTCTCCTTCTGACATGAGATCCAGGCCTTTAGAAACTGTTCTGAGCTGTGACTTGGCAGCTCTCCTGATTGCAGGTCACACCTGTTGTCCAGACTCCTTGCCATGCCCTAATCTCTGCTTCCGGGTGGTGAGTGGAATAATCTGACGATACATGGTTCATCTGCTAGGAGATTAAGGCAGGGAAGGATAACTACCTGGAAATGCTAGTGAGTACATGAATAGGAAGGAATCACTAAATAAATACTTAAAAGAAAAATTCCTAGAACTGAAAAGATTTGAGCTTCCAGATTGGAAAGGCCCATTGAGTCTCATGATAGTGGATGTCCACACAGTCATACCAAGGCCTCTCATTTTGAAACTTCTAAAATATTGGTAAAATGAGACTATTTTAGAATCTTCCAGAGGGAGAAAAAAAAGTTTGCTGTTAAAGGACCAAGAATCAGAATAGCAATAAACTCCAAGGTCCTGAGTTTGATCCCCGGTACCTCCCCTCACCAAAAAAAAATCTCCGTTAGAATGCAATGATCTTTATTGCAGTTCTGGAAATAGAAGAAAATGAACAATGTTTTCAAATTCTAGAGCCCTGACTTAAGCCTACAGTTCTATATTCGGGCAATACTAGTTAATTGTGAAAGCAGAATTAAGAAGTGCTAGGTGGCTAAAAAATGTGTGTTTCATATCTCTCACAGCAAGGTACAGGAGAATGGGATCAAGGGAGTGAAACAAAAGAAGATATGGGTGACAGGCCAGAGGACTCAGCTCAGGGGAGAGTAAGAGCACCCTGGCTGCACTGTGCCCATCAGCCATTGTGAGCAGATCAGAGCTGTGCAGAGGTGTAGAAGATCGTGGAGGTGGCAGGGCACTGGATACAGTGGAGTAATCGAGAGGGTGTAGGAAGAAAGGAGGAAAAAAACTTAATGAAATATAGAGTTTGAGACCAGCCTGGGCTACATAGTGAGCTCCAAGTCAGTCTCAACTACATAGTGAGACTCTGTCTCAAAAAACAAAAAACAAACAAAAAAACCCAACAAAAATAAAACCCAAAAATAAAATGAAATATAAAATGTTATAACTGCACAACAACAGTTGTCCAAAGACCACGGCCATTCTCTACTATGTGCTTCACCTGTAACTAAGGCTTCCTGTGTCATAATGGCATCAATTCTGGATATTAATCTGGTAAAAATTAGAAGAGTCAAGGCGGTGGGAATCAGGTTCATTTCTGGAGCAGTGTTTTAGAAATGAGATTGAATTTATTATCTTCTATAGTGTGAAATCAATAAACAATAACCCTTTATGTCTATTTATGTGTGTGTTTGTGTGTAGACAGAGTCCATGAAATGTGTACACACTTCTGGAAAAGAAAAACTTGCATAAATTTATTGAGAGGTTATGATGTAAATGCAAATTACCTTTGGCCTCTACAATTACAAGAGATGCTCAGAGTGGTTGCCGTGAACGTCCAGACATTTAGTAGTGAGCTGCTGCTTGGGTGACCTTGGTCCCTGCGATTGCTGCACGAGCATTTTCAGTTTCTTCTCTAAGGGCTGGCAGGGTAGTGGGTTTTCTGTGATACTCATCATCCTGTAGGGTCCCGCATATAAGGCAATACCATCTGTGGCAAAAACACTGTACGATTTTTCTTTTACTAAAGTGTGTATACTTTTTTGCCTGTATATATGAATGCCATTCAGAGACTTGAGGATAAATACCAAAAGAAAGAGTGAAAGAATTTAAAGTGACTATAAGTTGGTAAGTAGAAATGGGAGAGGATAGGGAAATGGCTGATTATTTCTTTGTTGTTTTGTTGCTGTTGTTTATTTTTGAGATGGGGTATTGGTATGTAGCCGAGGCTCCCCTCCAACTCATGGTCCTCCTCCCTCAGCCTCACCAGTGCTGGGGTTACAGGTTTGAGCCACCATGCTGGGCTGTTTTTCTTTTTTCATTTTTGGTACCGTGGATCAAACTGAGGACATTGTACTTGTGAGGCAGGTGCCACAAGCACTGAGCTAAATCCCCAGCCCTTTGGCTGTTTTTTTAAATATGTTTTGTAGGATTATAAGATTGATTAAAAAATAATATATGTGCACATATATAAAATTTAATGCATCAAAGATGTGAATTCAGTTTCTCTTCTGTAGTACTGGTATTACAAACTTGTCATGTCATTTCTGAAGTATAACTCTTTATTTGCTCTCTCAATTCCAACTTTTTACAATATATTTAATTGCATTTACTCAACTGGAGTTCCTGCAAAGGATTCTTCTTTAAATATAATAGGAAATAAAGGGGTATGGGGTGATATTCAGAATAGAGGTTTGCATGGAGTCTCAGAAACTAACCCCTCTTCTCTCCCAACTCCCTGTCTTCTCTTCAGAGCATAGAGCAGTCATGGAAGCTGCCTTTGTGTATGGGACCACGTACCAATTTGTCTTAACCACAGAAATCACCCTTCTGGAAAGTATCGGGTAGGTATGAGGCATGTGGTAACGAGTGTGTTTTTTGTGTTCACTTGTGTCACATTCTCAGTCAACATTGTTTTTCTTGAGTCCCGGGGATGGAACTCTGGGCCTTGCATTTGTGAGGGAGGCAGCAGAACCACTGAGCTAAATCCCTGGCCCTTCTCAGTCATCATTTCCGCGATAGTCTGTCTCTCAGCATGGGCTTATCTGAAGGAATCCCAAGCAGATATCTTGAATTTACAAATGAAACTTGAAGTGCCCACCATTGCTCTCATCTGCTCTAACAAGATGTACAGGGTGTAAACAGACACTGTCAGACAGAGAAGAACAGGGCAGAACAGGACGGACTGCTCGCAGGATGGAGTGGCCAAGTGAGGTATCCGAGGAATGGATTTCCCCAGTGATCAGAGAGCCAGTAAAATTACAGCTTTCGGAGCAAAGCTCCAGAAATTCTTTGTGAAAGTTATATTTTTAGTTAAAAAGTTTTATTAGTACATGTTTGTATTACAGAATAGTGACAGTCATTTTGGGGAATCGGCACATAGATACATCACATGTTGGTCACTGTCAATCCCCTTACTTCCTTTTCTCTTTCTTCCCCTCTCCCTTAATCCCCTTCTCTCTCTTCAAGTTTACTTTCTAATCTTCTCTCCATTATTTATATATATTTTAAGTTTCTCATATGAGAGAAGGGATGCAGTTTTGTTTGTTTGTTTGTTTTTGGTATTGGGGAGTGAACTCAGGGCCTTGCACTTGCGAAGCAGGTGCCAGAACCACTGAGCTAAATCCCAGGCCTGGGACACAATATATTTAACTTTATGAATCTTGCTTATTTCACTTAGCACGATGGTCAGGAGTTTCATCTACTTTCCTACAAATGACATTATTTTATTCTTTTTTTTTATACTGGGGATCGAACTCAGGGCCCTTGTGCTTGAAGGCAGGCCGCAGAACGAACCACTAAGCTAAATCTCCAGATCCGACACAATTTTATTCCTTATGTCTGAATAATATTCCATTATGTATATATGCCATATTTTCTTTATCCATTCATCTGTTGAGAAGTATCTAGGCTGTTTCCAGGGCTTAGTTACAGTAAATGACACCCTTATAAATATGGGTATGCATGTATCACTACAATATGATGTCTTCAGTTTTTACATTTTTATTTATTTTTGTTTTGTTTTGTTTTTTGAGACAGAGTCTCACTATGTTGTTGAGACTGACCTGGAACTCACTATGTAGACCAGGCTGGTTTCAAACTCACAGCGATCCTCTTGCCTCAGCCTCCTGAGTGCTGGGATTACAGGCGTGTGCCACCACACCTGGCTATCTTCAGTTTTTTTAAAGAATATAGCCAGGAGAGGTATGGCTGGTTAAGTGGTATTTCCATTTTTGTTTTTTGAGGACTCTGCATACTTATTTCCTTAGTGGCTGCACTATCTTACCAGCGTTCATTGCCTTCTGTGTTCTTGGTGATAGCCATTCTGACCAGGATAAAGTGGAGTCTCAATGTAGTTTTGTTTTGTGTTTTCCTGATCTCTAAGGATGTTGAACATATTTTCATGTACTTAATTGCTCTTTGTACTTCATTTGAGAAGTGTCTGTTCAGTTTACTCACTAATTTTTTTAGGTCATTTGTTTTGGGGGTTAATTAATTTTTTTGAATTCATTTTTGAGTCCTTCCTCAGAAAAGTAGCTAGCAAAAATCTCCCTTCCTGGGCTGGGGATTTAGCTCAGTGGTGCCACTGCCTGCTTTGCAAGTGCAATGCCCTGAATTCAATCCCTGGTACCAAAAAAAAAAAAAAAACCCCAAAAAACAACTCCCATTCTGTAAGTTCTCTTCACTCTGCTGATTGTTTCCTTTGGTATGCAGAAGTTTTTTATTTTTTTATTTATTTTTTTTTGTGGTACTGGGGATCAAACTCAGGTCCTTGCGCTTGCGAGGCAGGCCACCGAACCGCTGAGCTAAATCCCCGGCCCTGAAGTTTTTTAGTTTGATGTAATTTCATTTGTTGACTTAATATTATTTTCTGAGCTAGTAGAGTTCTATTAAAGAAGTCCTTCCTGTCTGTATAGCTTAAAATATTTCCCCTGTATTTTCTTTCAGTGGTTTCAAAGTTTCTGTTTTTATATTTAGGACTTTGATCCATTTTGATTTGATTTTAGTACAGCATGAGAGAAAGGGATCTAATTTCAATCTTCTGTAAGCAGATATCCAGGTTATCAGGACTATTTGTTTTAAAAAAGACTATTTGTCTTTTTTTCCTGCGTATGTTTTTGGCTCTTGTCAAAAATCAGATGGCTGAAGGTGCATGGGTTTGGTTTTTGTTTTCTATTCTGTTCCATTCATCTACATATCTTTTTTTATGTCCCTGCCATATTTTTATCACTCAGCCTTTGTAGTGTAACTTGAAATCTGGCATTGTGGTGTCCCTAGCTTTGCTCTTTTTACTCAGGATTGCTTTAGCTATTCTGGGTCTTCTTTTTGATTCTGTAAGAACTTTAGGATTGTTTTTTCTAGTTCTCTGAATAAAGTCATTGGAATTTTCATGGGGATTGCATTGAATCCACAGATCTGTTTTGGTAATGTGGCCATTTCAGGTTTTATTTATTTATTTGTTTATTTGTTTTACCATTTATGTAGCTTTTACTAGTATATGTTTGTGATACATAATAATTACATTAGTTTGGGGGAATTGTATGGGTATGCATGTATCACTGTATGCATGGGTATGCATGTATCAACATGGGTATGCATGTATCACTGTAATATGTTAGCTTTTCTTTTGGGAAAATACCTGGAAAAGTATAGCTGAGTCAAATGGAATCTCTCTGTTTTTAGTGTTTTGAGGAATCTCCAGAAAGCGGATACACTAGTTTACATCTAACCAACAATGTAAAGGGACTCCTCCTTCCTCACATCCTTGGCAGCATTAGTTGCTTTTTGAATTCTTGGTGATAGCCATCTTAACTGGAGTAAAATGGAGTCTCAGTGTAGTTCTGATTTTCATTTTTCTAATGGCCAAAGATGCTGAACAGTTTTTCACATACTTCTTGGTATAGGTATATGGATTTTAATGATACTAATTCTGCCAGTTCAAGAAGAGGGATGTCTTTCCATATTCTAATGTTCGTTTCAGTTTTCTTCAGAGTTCTATAATTTTTACTACAGAGGTCATTCACTTTTTTGGTTAGGTTGATTCCTAGGTTTTTATTTGTCTTTGAAGCTATTGTGAATAAATTTTTTCCAGTTTTCTCAGTGGATTGTACAAGAACACTTGTATTTGTCTGTTGATTTTTGTGTCCTGTTTGTGAGGGTTTTTTTGTTACTTTGTCACGTTAATCCTAATTGTATTTAAGTACAGTTTTGAATGTTTTAATGTTTATTTTTTTCTTGTCTAGCTTCTAGCTTACAATTCTAGATAAATGCCTGCTTTCCAGTTTTTTTTTTTTGTTTTGTTTTTTGTTTTTGGTACCAGGGGTTGAACTTGGGACCTTGCACTTGCAAGGCAGGTGGCAGAACCACTAATCTAAATCCCTGGCCCTTTCCAGTGTTTTTGACTGGGCATTGTCTAGTTAAATTTTTTCTTTCCTTTAGTATTTAAGGACACAAGCAATAAGAAGTGCATTTTAAGACTAAATTTGACTTCAAACTGCCCTTCAGGAAAGTTAATTCAAAGCAAGGCTAACTGGTAATTAACCTTTTAATGCCATGTGTCAGCTTTTAATGAACCTTACTGACCTCTCAGGACATAGTAGCTATTTAATAATCTATACATAATTGTTTATGGCCCAAATGTTTTATAGCTCTGAATATTTGGAAGCTGATGATACACAGAAAACTGGTGAAGTGAAGTGATTGGAGGGTCAGGTTAAGCGGAGAAGAAAGTTCTTAAGGAGAAGTTGTAATTTTATGTCCCTGTATGCCATCAACCTGCATTGCTCTTTCCAGTGTTCTCTCCTTATTGGCATTCTGCTGGTTCCCTCATTAATGACTTAAAAATTTAATGCATGCTAAGTGTCTGTATGAAAAATGTATTTCTAACAATGTGAGAATTATTCAGTACCATAAATCTTTGCTGTAAGTAGTCACTGATTTGAAAGACACAAAAAAGCAGTAGTTAGAGCCAGGCCCTTTGCTACTCTCATTGTGGTGTGCCAGGTTCCCATCTTGGCATGGAGGAAGGAAGTCCTGTCTCTCTGTCTGTCTGTCTGTCAGTATCTTTCTGTGCCCCCCTCTTATTTGAGAGTAAAGCATTATACTGTTTTGGAAGGGGTATTTTGTTTTTGTTTTTGTTTTTTTACTTTTTCCCATTTTTAAAATGGGAATTGAAAACACAGTTATGCTGTTTGGCTTACTTTTGAACATACTGTATTGGGGGAATGTCTGAATTATCACTTTTTCATGCATAACAAGATAATGAGGAGTCATACTGGGACCTGATGTGCCTGGGTAAGGACTGTGTGTTCTAAGTACAGTGGTCTTAGCACATCCCCTCTGGATAGAGTGGTTAGCTAGATGGAGTGTTTTTTTTCCTAATGGAGGTGAAGTGAGGCGAATGCATGCTTGCTTGCTTTTTTTCTTATGTTCATTCTTCAGTCAACTGATATTTATTGAATGCTTAATATGTGCTAGGCATTATTCTGGTTTCTGGGGCTATACCATTGAATACGATTAGTGTATTGATTACTATATCATGTTAAGACTGAGTTTGAAATTATGTATCAGTTAAGGATGTATAAAGTGGATAGTAAAGGATGTAGCATGCTGTAGAGACACCGGTACCTTCTGCATATTCTCAGAATACCTCTCCATATTCATTTTTAAATTTTAAAATTTAAAACATTTTTATTGGTACAGGATTTAGTGCATGTAGATAACACATCTTAATTTTTTTTGTCCCCTTCCTGCCCCTCCCATTTCCATATTCCTTCTTAAAGAATCTGTGTAGGTCAAGAATGGCATTACCCTTCATTACTCACACGTCACCAAGTCAAATCAGAGGGGACCCCCTGACCTAAGGTTAGCAAATCCACTGCTGAGCAAATAGGATCCTCTCTCTGAGGAGTGTTTGATTTGGTGTAGCGAAGTGTCTTCACTGAATTAATGGCAAAGTGAACATCCCTGAACTCTTGCCATTTGGGTCTCTATATAGAATTTATAGATTTCTATCACTGTTTGAATTTTCTGATCATTATTTGAATTTCCTTCCATTCTGTGAGATACTCTTCTAAACTTCCCCTAAGTTCTCCTCCCTTTGTTTTCTGTAACCTGCAAGTAAATGATCCCTGATTAAAGAACTTTCCAACATTATTTTGTAATTTCAGAGACTTTAATATGAAGTCCATTCTTAAGTGGGATCTTCTGTACTCAGAATTTTCCTTTGAGCATTATCCAACTATTTGGGGTTCCCCTCCAAAAGTTACAGACTGTCCAAAGCCTTAGCTACTTTATTGCTTTTATTAGAAATGTCCATTTTTCCTGTCTTCTTGGAGAATCCATTATCTTCTTTTCTGATATTTAAGGGTTTTGACTTTCCTTTTTCTTTTCTTCCTTTTCCTTCCCAACTGGAGACAGAATGGGATATTTCTTTATTCCTCATAATATTTTGTACATTACAGCACTAATAAACTACAATCTGTTTTACCAACTTATATCTTCTTTAGTGTAAGGCCTTTATGGATTTGAATTGTCTTATTTAACTTTATCTCTTGTGTTTAGCACAGGGTCTAAAATATAGCTGGCATTAAGTATATTTTAAGTGATTATTTCTCTAATCATTTGTAATTAAATTTGAAATCAGTGAACCTTGAATATTTGGCTTAAGCATGTCTCAAGAATTAGAATAATATTTTAAATATAAAATTTTGTAGTGTTTTGCCAAACTCTACTAATGCCATATGGAAATTTTTAAAATGCTATTTTAATTTTGGCAAACCTTATTCCCACTATAAGTTTTGTCTTTGTGTTCTCATATTGGAGGAGATGCCAAAACTTGAATTATAAGCCATATTCACTGAGCTTTGTAGTATTTTAGATATAAACTCAGATTCCCACATAGTATCACATGGTTTTTATTTTGAGGCCTGTTTGGTTAAAGTTTGTTCAAAACAGCTTTGGGCTTCAATTAAAACTAAAAAATTGATATAGGATAGTTCTAGAAAAGCAACAATTTAAAAATATCTCATTGTCCACAAGATTATATCCCTTCAAGTAAGCCTCCATATAACTTAACTGAGAAGCTACCATCTAAAAAGGTACAGTAGAAAATTACCTACATGACTTATGTGATTTGTTCAGATATTAAGGTTAATTTTTTTTATATTCTATAGCTTGTTTCTCGGCCCAGGTTTATTTTGTTTTAATGTTATAATCTTAGTAAAACAGTAGTTCAAAAGCAGGAGATTTAATTGTTACATTTTTTGGGATGGTAGAAGGATCACTCACTGAACTTCATTAAGTGGATGTCCCTGGCTTTAAATTTGCAGCTCAAAGGATATAGAACATGCACATCTCTACTTTTTTCATTGTCATCTCGTCTCAGACTTGACCCAGCAATGTAGAAGAACACTGATGCGACAGCCGCTGACTACACTGAGCATTCATGCGTTTGTTAAGACAATGAAAGCCCCCCTGTTGGTATGTGTCTTATTTTAATAGAATAGATAACTTGGTTTGTTTGTTCTTTTGTTTTTTGAGATAGGGTCTCACTATGTAGTTGAGACTGACCCGAACTCACTATGTAGCCCAGGCTGGTCTTGAACTCACAGTGATCCTCCTGCCTCAGCCTCACAAGTGTTGGGATCATAGGTATGTGCCGCCATGCCTGGCTTAGAATAGATAACTTGGACATAAAATGCATTACATTTTTATGCATAGATTTGTTTTACTTAAGCGAGTTATATGTTTTCCCTTTTCCTTGAACATATTTCTTTGATTTTGTGAGATACAGGCGCAGTTCCTTATTAAAGACAGAAAAGATGGTAGATGCTTCTTAAAATGACATTTTAATGCCTTGATTTATTATTTCATAGCATTGTACAAGTGAAATATTCTGTGGTAGTTAAAATGAACTCTGAGACTTTATGAGTGCTCACATATCACAAAGATCATATTGTAGTTGAGAAAAGATCTCTTTTGTAAATGCTTTGATCATTGTTTTAAAACTTGCTATGTGTTACAACCATAGGATTTCTGGTGCCGTTTCCTTAGCATCAGCCTTAAAGAACTTCAGAGACTCACTAGATGATGGTGATCAAGTATTTTTCTCTGAAAGGTTAAGGGCTTGTCCCGAGCATGGGTAAGACCTTTAAAGTAGATTGTCTCACTCAGTACTTTTCTTCGGGGGGGGGTACTGGGGATCGAACTTGGGACTTTACACTTACATGGCAGGTGCAAGAACTACTGAGCTAAATCCCTGGTCCACTTAGTACTTTTTTAAAAAAATAAAATTCTGCATGCATATTTTAAACAGTGCAGCAAAGTATAAAGAAAAAAATTTAAGACATAGACCAGACCCATGACTCAGTAATTAGTGCTTAGATGACCATTATACTAGCCGTCTCTGCACCTGTGTAGATACATACAGATAGTGGGGTAAATCGTTGCATGGACCTGTCTTAGTACTACCAAATTTAATAGAAGAAAACAGCTGGAAACTAGAGGGATTATGGACGTTTGACTGAGGAATGTCTTGCCATCACTAAAGGTTCTTCAGGAATTATTGTCTGAAGTGCTGAAAATTATTGTATTATGAAAATCACTAAAATTAAAAATCATTTAAAGAACTTTATGTTTTCATCTTCGGGTTAGCTTTTGTTTTTTTGATACTGGGGATCGAACTTGGGACCTTGTGCTTGCAAGGCAGGCTGTGGAACCACTGAGCTAAATCCCCTGGCCCAGGCTTAGCTTTGAAAGATGAAAAAATTAGCTTTATACATTTATTTTCATCTCTCTTGGTACCTTTCTGATTTTTGTTAGTATTGTGTTATTTTTACACTTCAGGTCTATAATGTTTATATTTTTTCTATAACCATAATTCCAACTTTTTAAAAAGGCTTGATTCTACATTTAAATAAATTCAGAACTTGCAAGCAACAATGTTGCTGGCTTTATTCCTTGGTTCTTTATTTTGAGTAAGTTTTTCTTTGCTTTCCCCCACCTTTAAGTTTATTGGTACATTTAAAGCAAACAATACAGTTACATTTATCATTGGGATCTTGTACCTTTACATGCTATGTCTTGGTTCTTGTTCTTCCCCCTACCCCTGCCCTCCCTTCACCCTCTTCACCCTTCCCTGTTGTCAGTTTTCCTTTGGTTGGATTTTGGTTTTGAAGATTTCTTTTCTTCTTTCTAGTTTATTTGTATTTAAAGCAAACAATACAGTTTCATTTATCATTGGGATCTTGTACCTTTACATGCTATGTCTTGGTTCTTGTTCTTCCCCCTACCCCTGCCCTCCCTTCACCCTCTTCACCCTTCCCTGTTGTCAGTTTTCCTTTGGTTGGATTTTGGTTTTGAAGATTTCTTTTCTTCTTTCTTTCTTTTTTTGATATCAGCCATCGAACCTAGGACCTTGCACTTGTGAGACAGGCAGCAGCACCACTGAGCTAAATCCCTAGCCCAAGATTTCTTTTCTTTTTAAAGAACATGGCTTATACTTATAGATCTCTTTCCTTTCACAAAGAAGCAGTATGCGTCTTTTTTCCATGGAGAGATATTTGTTTTATTTATTCTCACTTTATTCTATGAACCATTTGAGAGAAAGGGCTGGGGAAGAGACAGTTCACTGTACAGTTCCTCACCATTTCTACTTTCATTTCCTTCTCTTCAGATACTTTGGTATTATTAAAAATTCTCAGGATTTTGTCTACACACCAGTAGGGAGCAGGATAAAAACTTGTTGCAAACTTGATGAAAGTCTCTTTTTTTGTTTTTTGTTTTTCTCCCTTGCTTCAGCATTCTGGCTTGAAATTGCCCCTCACCTAATGTTTCTGCTCATGTACTTCATTTTGCTTTGTTTTAAAACTTTTTTTTTCCTAAGGGATGGAGTTTCCTCTGATTATTTTTTGCTACATGACAGTTATTTGAATTATATAATAACAGTTTTGAAATTAAAAAACTAAAACTTTGGAGATTTCATAATAACTTGGGATTCAGTGAAGTGTGGCTTTACTTGAAAGCGTGACATGACAAAAAATATTTAAGGGCCCTACTTATATACTATTCTCTGTGAATAACAGCTCCTAAAACATACACTGTGTAGGCTATAATGTGAGTGGTGCTCCCTGGGACTGTGTAATGCAGGTGATCCTGCTCGTGCAACAGGAGTATTAAATGGTCAAAGCGTGAAGTGGGTTTGTTTCAACGCTCTCACAAAATGATGCTTAAGTATCTTTGTTTTTAAACACCCCCAACACACACAACTAGGGAACTAGGAGGATGTAGGATTCAGGCAGAGTTTCCAGAAATAGGTAGGAATAGCATGAGGAGAAGAAAGATCTAAATGGCAATATCAACTACATGTTCCCGCCAGCTTGAGCACCAGTGGTACAAGGTCAAAGACTTTTATGGAAAATACTCCAATAGACCAACATTTGATGTTATAGGATTGTACATAACGAACCTACAAGACTTGTTAACTGTTGGATTGAATTACTGTTTTTTAGCTTTTGTCGTTCCTCCACTGATGTTCATTCCTCTTGTTATTTCTCTGTTGACCTCTGTTAACCATTCCTCCTGTGTTATTTTCTGCACCAATCCATATACAAGCCATTCAATCATAGTTAGGTTTTTATGTGGTCAGTGAGATCTTATGCAAAGAGGTCTAGTCGGACACAGTAACACACAGCTACAATTCCACACTCTGGAGGCTGAAGCAGGAGGCCAGCCTGGGTTACATTGTGAGTTCAAGGCCAGCCTGGAATATACAGTGAAATGCCATCTCAAACAAAACAAAGCAAAAAGAAAACACACAAACAACAGAAACCCAGCTTGTACTCATGAGTTCAGATAATTTGATGTATTTACATCAAAAGCTTATTAACAGGCCCGGGATTTAGCTCAGTGGTGCTGCCGCCACCTGCCTCACAAGCACAAAGTCCTGAGTTCAATCTCTGGTACCAAAAAAACCAAACAAACAGAAAACCTCAAAAGCTTGTTAGTAAGCCAACGAAAATAGAAAGTAATATTTAGACTTTTTGTGAACTGTTTTGTGTGTTATCATGAGTCCCAGCTAAAGTTGAGGGAATTGTGCAAGACTTGATCACGAAGGGGCCTGGCAGTCATGGGGGCCACCATATGTAAGCATAGGATTCTGTCTGGAAAACAGTTTGTTTTTTTTTTGGTACTGGGAATCGAACTTGGGACCTTGGGCTTGTGCGGCAGGTGATGGAACCACTGAGCTAAATCCTGGCCCCTGGAAAATAATTTTTTAATCTTAAATAACTGGAAAGTTTGTGAGAATGCATCTTCCGGTGTATCTAGTTTTGTCCATTCTGTTTGTTAGTGACCACACTTTTTCGGTTGTGCAGCTTATGTACAGTTATGGGAAAGTTTTGCACTTATTTCCATCATGATTTCTTCCCTTCTGTTTTCTTTCTCCCCTTTCTCTGTGACTCCTCTTGTTTAGATGTTGGGCTTCTGCTAGTCCTTCAGTATTATTTATTACCTTTTCTCTATTACTTTCCATCTCTCTTTGTTCTGCTTTCTAAGGGATTTACTGAGCTTTACTTTTCAAGTCTTTATGGGTATAATGTCTTTCCATCTCCTTGAGTGTCTCCGTGATGCTTCTTGACCCTTTGTTCTTCCTGCACAGTCTGTGTTTCCTCCATTTATTTACTTTTCTGTGGATTCTGGTCACTGTCTTTCATGATTGTGCTTTCTGTCCAATGTTTATTAGTCCTTGGATATCTGTTTGTGGATTAGAATTTTAAAATTCTAATGGGAATTGGAAATTCTGAGAAGGTTGGTGGGACTTACTCACTTTGGCTCTGTAGAGTGATTTGGCCTGGGCTACCTTTTGGGGAATTACCTTTTGGTTATTATCTTTAGGTTCTTGTGGGTTATCCACGATTTTGCAAAAGCCATCTTCCAATCTTCTCAAGAAAAGAGGTCTGGCTACTAGTGTTCTTAGAACAAAGTATAGAGGGACTTTAGGGCATGTTATCATTCAATTACTTAATCAGACCAACTCTCAGCTGTTTCGGAGGTGCTCCAGATTGCTGCTGCCATGGAAGGAGAATAGTTGCCTAAATTTATGGCGCTGGGAAAGGGAATCTGGGGATCTAGCTACTTCTTGAGACCTTTGACCGACAATGTATGTTTTTGGTTCCTTTGTCAAAAATCAGAGGGCCGGAAGTGTATGGAGTTTTTCTGTGTCTTCTGTTCTGTTCCATTCCCATTGGTCTACATGTCTGTTTTTGTGCCAGTACCATGTTGTTTTTGTCATTATAGGTTTGGAGTATAACTTGAAGTCTGGTATTGTGATGCTTTCAGCTTTGCTTTTTTTGCTCAAAATTGACCAATTTAAAAAATAGGCAAATGAGCTAAATAGACACTTCTCAGTAATGTAGTACAAATGGCCAATAAGAATATGAAAAATGTTTAGTATCTGAGCCATCAAGGAAGTACAAATCAAAATTCCATCTTATCTCAAACACAAAAAACAATGTATCCTGCTGAGGATGTGGCAGAAGGAACCTTCCTACATTGTTGGTGAGAATGCATACTGGAAATTGGTATGGAGAATCCCCCCAAAACTAAAAATAGAAGTACCATTTGACCCAGCCCTATGTCTCCTAGATATATTCCTGGTAAAATTAAAGGCACCACATTTTAGTGATAACATACATACCCATGTCTAATGCAGCACAATTCACAATAGCTAAACACTGGAAACAACCTAGATGCCTGTCAGAAGACGATTGGATAAAGAAATTGTGGTGTATATATACACAGTGGAATAGTATCCAGCTACAAAGAATGAAATAATTGTAGCAAAGTGGATGGAACTTTAGATCATGTATGCTAAGCTAAATAATCCAGACCCAGGAATTTAAATATTGCATATTTTCTCTTATATGAGAAACCTAAAATACAAATAAATGAATAAAGTAAAGGAGAGATGATAGGAAACTAGAAGGTAGACTTTCAAAGATAGGGAAAGGGTCCTGGGGGAGAGGGTGAAGAGATTGAAAAATGACCAAGATGTTATATGCAGGTCCCAGTTTCCCCACATGATCATCATCATCATTCTTTATTACACGTGTGCACTTAAAAAAAATAAAGCAGCTTTGAGCTGTTCCTTCTCAGTTTAGAAGCTTCCTTGCATTTTCTATATATGTAAGACACTCACAGTTCCTCAGCTGTTTTAGGATTGTGTAGTTAAAATTGAGTTATTTCTTTGCTTTTCCTCTCACGGCTCAGGGTTTTTGTTCATAGCAAGACTGTGACACTGTTCTGTATTCCAGCCTCCAAATATTGCTGCCTCTTGTTTTTTCTTTGTTCAAATATCTTTTTAATGCCTGTGGTTTCCCTGGGATTTCTAGAGAGTGAAATTAGATATGTGTATCCAATCTGCTATTTTAATTTAGATGTCCCTTATTTTAAAATGTGTCATTTACAGCCTTAAATTTGTTATGAGAACATTTATGTCTTATCTGGTTTATTTCCTTTGAAATACCTTTATTGATATCACATTTTTTAATTTACTCATTTTTGTTTCCTTATACCTGTTTTTGTGGTTGTAATTTTATGCCTCATTCCTTATGAAATTTCTTGGTTTTAAATTTTTTTTGTGGTACCAGGAATCGAACTCAGGACCTTGCGCTTGTGAGGCAGGCAAGGGTCCACTGAGCTAAATCCCCCAGCTCCGTTTCTTCATTTTATAATGTTTACATTACATAGGTACATGGAAGCATTAAATTTAGAAAATTCTGAGATTGTTTTTATTAATGTTGGATTTACTTCAGAGTTGTTTTGGATGACTTTATTAATATGAATTAAGGGGATTTAAATCCAAATGTTGGAACACTGGTATCATACAGTGAAAATATATTGTTCTTCTATTTTAAATAAAGACTGAAGTTGCTGAAGATCCTCAGCAAGTTTCAACTGTTCATCTCCAACTAGGATTACCGCTGGTTTTTGTTGTTAGCCGAAAAGCTACATATGAAGCCGACCGAAGAACTGCGGAATGGATTGCTTGGCGTCTGCTAGGAAAAGCCGGAGTTCTGCTCTTGTTAAGGTATCTTCCGCATTGGGTAGCTGCTATATTAGCAAAGCACTAGTATTTTTCTTACTTTTAATCTAATCACATCAAACCCTCACATCTTGAGTAGATCTCAATACTGTTAGAACTAATTGTTGAGGCAAAGTCTGATGAGTTTGATCAAATTAACGTGGAGACTAGACAGTAGGGTACTCACTAAACTGTAACCACTTTTCATAAACGTCTTTTAGTGTAAGAATTTACAGTTACATTTTAGATTGACCTCCTGGATGACTGTTACTCTTCAAGTTAGCAACATAAAACGTTTATTTCTATTTTGAAAAAGGGACTCTTTGGAAGTGAACATTCCTAAGCATACCAATGTGGTCTTCAGAAGAGCAGAAAAGGTTAGTCACTTTATGTACCGGTCTATAATGTCAGCTTAACTCAAAGAAAGTACATGTGGTCCTAAAGTAGTATGTGTTTTTGATGGAAAAAGAAAACCTGTAATTCCAGGTGGTGGTGCACACCTGTAATCCCAGCACTCTAGGAGGCTGAATCAGGAAGATAAATGTTTTAACCTAGCCTGGGCAACCGTAGCTGCTTGGCAAGGCCCTCTCTCAAAATTATAAAAAGCAAACAAACAAACAAGGGCTGGCCATGTAGCTCAGTGCTAAGAATAGAAAAAGCTTTTCTGTGAGTGGCATTATTAAATTCATTGCATTTCTTTTTAACTTCCTATCAGGGCAGTAATGTTGACCCTGAGACTATAATCCTCCTTTCCCTCTCCCTTTCCTGTACCCCTCCAGGCAGTGAGCTTGAGTGTCTCAAGTAGTACTTGTTGCACAGATAATATTACAGACATTACTACAAGCCTTATAGTGTATAATAAAAGTTATAATAAAAGTATCATATTAGTTCTTCAGATTTTTTTCTCTATGGCAGGGATTAGCAAAATAGGGTTAAGTGTTTATGCTTTAGAGTCATACTGCTTAGCTCAAATTCTGCTTTATAACTGGGCAAATTACTTCTGTCCATCTCCATATTTTGTATTATAAGATAACAATATAAGGGATAACAATACCTACTTTAAAGGGTTGTTGGGTCAAAATACTAACTGAAATAATGTAAAGTGCTTACCTAGCTCTGGGCCCAACATTGTAAATGCTAATAAATGTTGAATAATATTCAATCAATGTTTATTAACTACTTGCATTGTTTCTAGGAATTGCCACTGGAATTTCTGGTGTTAACTGATATTGATTCCATAATTTCTTATGTGGAAGATAATGTGCATATGGAGGAAAATGGAGACAGTGACATGGGAGATCCAGATCTGGGTAATAGTTACAATGCTTGCCATCCCCCTTCTAATTTCCAGGGGATTACCTTTCTCGCACAAAGTATTTATGCTCACGACTCTGTGAAGAGACCTGGAGAAGTTTATTTTGAAGCGCATGGTCTCAGGTTGATTAGGTGAGAGGTGTGGGGATACTCTGCTTTGTTTAGTGTATACCTGTGGTGTTGGGTCAGGCTTCTGGCTTCCCACATCTGTGTCTTTCTCCTCCAGATCAGTTCTTCAGCCCATGTGGCCTAATCCATGTTTAAAATCTCCACTCAGAGACCACAACATGTTTCATTTTTATTCTTCCTATTCGGAAATGAAGTTGTAATTAATATTGTTGTATTTGTAGTTGTAAATGAGTCTGATTCCTAGTAGAATAGTGAATAAATTTCAGTCACATTTTAATATTTTTAAGCGTTATTTCTGGTTTTTTCTTAGTCTTACTGCTTACATTTCTGAAGTTATTTTATTTCGATCTGTGTGCCTCTGTTGCTGCCCTTCTCTCTGCCTCCTTTTTTCCTTCGGTAGTCAGTTAGCAGCAGCTCTTCTAAGAAGCTTTGTCTCTCTTACCAAGTTAGATGTCCTGTGTATGTTACATTACAATTTTTATCAGTTTTTAGTAGCATATTTACAAATTGAAAGTGTGGGTTTTTTTTTTTAACCATATACATGGATGGGTCCATGATCTAGCATTCTATTAGTGTATTGATTAGTGTATGTAAATTAGCACAAGGTTTTCCTATATTCAGAATCTGTCCATAACTTCATCCTCTTAGGATAAAATCCACAATTCTTGGCCCATTTGTTCTAGTCCACAGCCTGTCATGCAGTTTCCTCCTGCCATTTAGTCCTTCAGCTCCATCTTGTTTTAATCATTTTTCCTTTTCTCAGCACCTATTATATGCTGAACTCTTTTATGCCTCATAGCTTTTGCATATGTCATTCTCTTTATCTAAGTAACACATTCTTAATTTTCACATGGCAAATTTTGGATTTTCCTAATTTAAATTTCCCTGTTGCAGTCTCTCACTTATCTTTTATCTTCCTCCATAAATGATAAGAATTTATAGTTGTATGTGTTTTTGTTGATTCACTGTTCATTGTCTGATTCTTCCTTATGGTCAATGACCACAGCTGTGATTTTACCACTTGTGTTTACCTGTGCTTGGCACATAGCAGAAGCTAAATAAACACTATTCAAATATGGATGGTAGGATCTTTGGGGATTAATAATTACTACTGTGGTTAGAAACAAAATTAGCAGTATTCATATTATTTGTAGATCATAGTTAAGTGATTACTTCTGAAATTAGCTAAGCATGACATTTCTAGTCAGAAAGCATCTCCAGGTCCTTTAAGGGAGGAAGCTGTGCAACTTAGGAAATTTTCTAAATAATCATACATTTTAACTAGTTAGGCAGTATGAGTTTGGGAATTTTTATAAAATACAAAATTTTCAAATGTTTGCTTCTGAGAAGAGTTTAAATACTTTTAAGTAAAAATCTATGTTCATAATCATTTCTTTTGAAACATTTTAGACATTCAAGATGATGAAGTAGCTGAAAGTGTTTACAGAGACAGGAAGAGACAGTTACCTTTGGAATTGACCGTGGAACTTACAGAAGAGACATTTAATGCGACAGTGATGGCCTCTGACAGCATTGTGCTCTTCTATGCTGGTTGTGAGTTTGAGCCGTTAGAGGAGACTGTGTCATATAGTAGGAGATTTGAAGTAGATTTTACAGTTTTCGTTCTTTGTATTGCACGTTGTAAACTGACAGCTTTTACATGTTCCACTACACACTTCAGTATGGTTCAATCCATTTGATCTTAAGGGGTAAAACTGATTGGATTCTGTTTGTGTAATTTACAAATTGAAGATTAATGATTTAACTAGTATTTAGCTAAATAATTTGAAAAGTATTGTGATTCAAAGTAATGGTTTTTGGGCCAGGGATTTAGCTCAGTGATGCTGCCGGCTGACTCACAAGTGCAAGGTCCTGAGTTCAATCCCTGGTACAAAAAAAAAAAAAAAAAAAAAAAAAAAAAAAAAAAAAAAAAAAAAAAAAAAAAAAAAAAAAATCAAAGTAATGTTTTTTTTTAATATATTAGCAATTATTACAGGTTTAGAGGAAATATGTTGCTTTTATTTTCCTATGGTAGCCATTCAACTGTGTCACTTGGAGTACTAATGCAGAAAAATGGTTACCTTCGAAACCCTTTCAAGGACATGAACAGTATTGAGTAGTCGCTGCTATTTGGCAATAGCAATTTTGGGAAAACCCATAAATCTATGTTTGTTGTGTCTAATAAGTATGGAAACTTTGGAAATATATATCTTGAAACATCTATTGAAGTTTTAAAAATTTTAATACAGGGCAAGCGGTATCCATGGCCTTCCTGCGATCCTATATTGATGTGGCAGTTAAATTGAAAGGTATTAGACTGTGCTGTGCATGCTCATTTTCCTGATTCTGGGTTGCAGCTTTTTGTTAAACTTTGTCATACTAAAGATGTAGAGAACCACATAAAATTTCAGGTTATTAGGTTGTGTTGCCAAGGTTAAATCAGTAAATAAATTCAGAATATCAGAAATACCCAGAAGCATTCATTTTTATTATCTTATGGAGTTGTGCTTGGTGGAAATAAGAAAGCCCACATATTAAACTTACTCCATGCCAGTTCCTATTAAATACACTTAAAGGAGGTAAAAATTTGATAGATGTGACGTATTCTCATAGACTAATGGAGGATGAAAGATTCCAATGTTCTTGAAGCTATATATAGTTAAGTTCCTCATAGACTAGGCTATTAATAGGCAAAATTTTTTTATTTATTCTATGAAGCCTAATATGGTGGTAGGGAAGTAAGAATTCAAGGATTGGATTTTATTTTTAATTTTTATCTTATTGAGTTTATTGGTACTAAGGATTGGATTTTAAATCATAATGTCTAAGATATTGTTCCAGTAAAGACATAGGGAGAAATAGGGAGGGCTACTAAGAGAGAGAGTGATAGGTTAGGTGTGTGTAGTTTTATAGTCCTTTGAATAAAACGGTGTATCATGTTTTGTGTCTGTAATATGATTTTCTCCTACCCTGTTTATCTTGTAGCTAGATCTGTCACAGTTAAATAGATTTATTATTCTTGGTTATTCTGGGAATGTTATTCACTATATAGTTTTTTAGTTGTGTTTATATAATAAAAATAACCCAGGATTTGCTTTCCTTTTTATTTAATATGTTCTTTGTGAATAACAGTCTTATTAGTAATTAGATGTCAGATAAATAAACTCTTTTTTGGAATTCAGGGATGGTGCTTAATGTAAAAATATATGATATAAATAACTATAGTATTTTGTGTCTACACTGAAACCCATTCGGGGTAAGCATCCCTTATCTGAAATACTTGGAGATACTTTGTATTTTCTCAGCATTTAGGATATTTGCATACATATAATAAGGTATCTTGGGATAGGACCTAAGTCTAATAAAAATACAAAATTCATATATATTTCACATTCATACATTCCATATAAGATATTTATGAAGGTAATTTTATGTAGTATTTTTAATGCACCTAGGTTTTGACTGTTCTCTCTCTCATGAGATTAAGCATAGAATATTTCATTTGTGGTATTTAATATTGACACTCAAAAAGTTTCAGATTTTGGGGGGTTTTTTTGTTTTGTTTTGTTTTGGCACCCGGGATTGGGTCCTCACACTTGCAGGGCAGGTGGCGGAGGCGGAACCACTGAGCTAAATCCCCAGCCAAGTTTCAGATTTTGACGCACTTCAGATTTTGTGTTTTCAGATTAAGGATGTTCAACCTGTACTAAAACTGTTTGAATTAGGAAAATATTGTAGTACTTTGAACATTAATCCTATACTCTTTCATGCTAAGTGCTTAGGGAAAAGCTATTTTTCATCTTAGTTTAAGACAGTGAAGAATATTTTTGCTCAGTCACAAGGTGGCAGCAAATGTCAAATTTTTGTATTTAGATAGGATATATAGCAAAGATAATTTATTTTTTCTTAAGCTTGGGAATTCTGTTTAAAATTAATGCATTGTTAACGTATATGGACCTATACTATAGGCATCTCAGAATAATAGACTATTCAGATTGAAATATAAGCAAATATTGAAACCATTTTATAGAAAATAAAATTTTTAAGTTACTTCAGTATAAGCAGCCTTATAATTTTTATTAACATGTCAACGTTCTTTTTCTAGATTTCAAAATAACAGAGCATTCAGTTTTGTAGAGACAAAGTTATATCAATATTTTTAGCAGGAGTAGATGTGTTGAAGATGATTATCTGAGGGAAATAACTGGGTGTGTAATAGCACCAGATTCTGTGCTTAGATGGCATAGAAAGCAGTGGTCAGAACAGTCATCGTTAAATATTTATTGATGACATAATTAATGGATAAGATATTTTTTTTCAGCTTTAATTGAGTTTATTGGTACATTTTAGGGATACAGTGCAGTTACATTCATTGTTGGGATCTTGTACCTCCACATGACAAGTCTTGATTCTCATTTTTTCCCCTTACCCCTGCCCTCCCTTCACCCCCTCCTCCCCTCCCCATCTACAAACACTTTATTTTCATCTTTTCATTCTCTCACATTTTTTTCTTTTCCCTTTTTACTCTTCCCCTACCCATCCCACCTTCCCTACACCTTTAGCTCCTTTCTTCCCATTTCTAAATGTCAGTAATCTTATTAGGATGATAAGAGATTTTTTTTTTTTTTGGTTTTTTTTTTTAGACAGGGTCTCACTATGTAGTTGAGACTGACCTGGAATTCACAGTGTAGCCCAGGCTGGTTTTGAACTCACAGTGATCCTCCTGCCTCAGCCTCCCAAGTGCTGGGATTACAGGCATGCACCACCACGCCCAGCATGGATAGGAGAAGTTTGTAGAGAAATGACTTAGCAGGTTTCATTTTTAGCAAAAATAAAGACTGCTCTTTGTTTAAATGCTCATAGGATATTCAGGTATTGATATATTTTTAAAAGCTTAAATTTGCTTATAAAGAAATACCACTATACATCCCATACATTGTTACTGAGTCAACACTGTATAGTGTGCTTAGCACCAGGAATCTCATGACTTGGATGTTTTTATTATCAGTGTTAGCACTAAATCTGAAGTGAAGAGTTATTACCTCATGAGCTATAATAAGAATATTTTTATAATTTGCATTGTGTGGTTAAGTTACACTTAGACTGTATCCTGAACTGATAGAGAGATTTCTTATTTGAGCTAAACTAAGGGTTGTTTCTTGTTAGAATTTCTTTCTTTTGGTATCTAAATTATTAAGATTGAAGTAGAAGTAAATATTGAAACTACTATACAGAAAAGAAAATAAAAATAAACATTTTAAAATTGTAACTTTCCTATACGCAGCTTTATAAGTCTTTTTTTTTGGTACCGGGAATCAAACTCATGACCTTGTGCCTGTGAGGCAGGCACAGTGCCACTGAGCTAAATCCCAGGCCCTATAATTTTTAATTATTATTCTTTTTTTAATCTTAATTCACCCTGGGCTGAGGATTTAGCTCAGCGGTTTGGTGGCCTGCCTTGCAAGCGCAAGGACCTGAGTTCAAGCCCTGGTACCAAAAAAAAAAAAAAAAAAAAAAAAAAAAAAAAAAAATTTT